GATATAACAGTCTCTCAGTCTCTGAAATAAAAAAAAAAAAAGTCTCAGAACATCTATAAACAAACTTGAGAATCCAATCCTCAGTTGACTCCTGTGAATCTACAGTTTAGCAAAAGTAACATACAGTACAGTAATTCCTCACTTGGGGTCTCTATACCTCCAGGTGTCTGCAAAGGTAGGCAAGGTGCTTCTTTAGCCAATTTAGATTTTTCAGAACATCTATAAGAAATTACATACTCAGCCTTCTCTGGGTAAAGTGTTAAGGGTCTTTGCATTTGACTGGACTCATGTCAGTGGTTTGCAAACACTGATTCAAAGTTGATTGATGGCTCAGTGTATAAAAAAATTTTTAAAGTATTAGTCAATAACATACTTTTTGATACGCAAAATATTTCAAAAAATGGGACCTATGATGAGTTCCTTGGTTAAAAGCTTGGGAAACATAGATATAGGGAGACAGTGCACTACTCTGGAAATTGGTACAAATAGCTTAGAGTCCACACCAATGTGATTTACTTCATCTCACTGTGCCTCAGCTTCCATAAAATGAACAAATGTGATAATATCCACCTGACTAAAATTCAATGATTTTTTCATATTATATAATGATCTCCTAAAGATGTCTGCCAAGAAGGTAGACCCAGGAAAGAACCTTTCTTAACTGTTTGTCACATCATAAGAATAAACAATCCAAGAATACATAGGCTCTAATATTCAGAAACTTGCTTGCTAACTGCCCTTAAAAGCAAAGAGAGAAAAAAGAATAAACTAAAAAGAAAGTAAAGTGTACTTTTCTACTGCTGACAGCAAAAGTCAACAGGAAACATATCAGTATAAAATCTCTCCAAAGCATGGAATGTCCCTGATTAACAACAAATGAGTTTTCTTTCCTTCTCATACTTCACTCCCAACACACCAGCTTCCAAATGCATCCCTAAAACAAATGAACTGAAGAAGGGAAGGAGAGCAAAGGAAAAAATCTGTATCATAATTGGTTTCCTCCCCTCAAAATTACAGAAGATGCGAAGGGGAAAAGGGTTGTTATTAGTCAAAATCCAGCATAAAATTCTCCTATTTACAGTTTAATGTGTTGTGGGGGTTTGTTTTGGTTTTAGTCATAAAAACTTTTCTGTGTCTACTGCTAATTTCTTCATATTAAAAATGACAAGCAGGCCATGAGTGGTGGCTCACGCCTGTAATCCTAACACTCTGGGAGGCTGAGGCGGGAGGATCACTTGAGGTCAGGAGTTCTAGACCAGCCTGAGAAAGAGCAAGATCCCATCTCTAAAAAACTAAAAAGAATTTGTAAAAAAGTATAAAAAGCTATTTGCACATTTCTGAGTGAATTCATACTAACTTAAATAGAGCATAAAACTGGCAGGGTGACACCAGTGAGAAGGAACACTATATGTGGGGTTTCACAGAGGAGAGCAGTGGAAGGAATTCTCAAAAAGGAAAAGCAGGCAAGATTCTTTACCACTTGATACATATAAAAACCCAAGTTCTTACCCTAAAATCAAAGTCTGGAAAAAAAAAAAAAAAAAAAAAAAAAAACCCAAGTTCAGAGATGTCTAATGAATTTTTAAGAGGTCATTCCACTTGCTAGGACAGACCAGAAAAGCCAGACCACATCCCTCCTCAAGCAACTAAAGTTATCAAGAATATCAAGAGTATGTAAGTTTCAACTTTCAACTCAATATTATCAATGAAAAAAAAAAAAGGAAATCAGAAACCTAACCTCATGTTTTAGTAGGTAATATGGTATTCTATTCACAACTATACAGAAGTGAAGGGATTCATTCTATTAATTTAACACAAATAAAAGAACTCACTGACTCCTTTAAAATAAGAGTCTATTAATCCTTGCAGTGCCAACAATCTCACATATTATATATAGAGATATACTGTACATCAAATAGCATAGCACATTTAAAGTATGCACATGAAACAAAGTATAGCACAAGGTGAACAGATACTCCTATAGCCCCCTACAAACAGAGGTTATAAAATATCTCACCTAAGAACAAATAAGGTATATTTAAATATAACCAGTCACATTCATTTAACAATTCTGCCAGCCTAAACAAAGGGTACAAAGATATAAAAATGAATAAGAGCCCCTAATCTCAAGGAAGTCACATGAGCAGGGAAGCTAGAAGCATGTGCAAAATCAAAATCTTGAGACCACAGAGAACAATAAATTTGCAGTTAGTGGTAACCAGAATTTACCAGTGAAAAAGTACGAGGAAGGGTATCAACAGGCAAAGGGAACAGCACAAACAAAGGCATGAATTTAGAGTGTACAATTAGATAATCAGGTGTCCTGAGTGGCCAGAGCAGAGGGAATAAAAATGATACATGGGCATGAAACGGTAGTATATACTTAAGCTAAGCAGTCATCAAGTAAGCTTGCAGCTAGGTCTCAGAGAACCATATATACCATGACAAGGTGTTCAGCCTTTATCAGGAAGGCCACAAAGAGATGATATAAAATAAACAATATTTTTAGAAAGCTAACTGGTAGCAACACAGATGACATATTTAAAAGGAGTGATGGGGGCCGGGCTTGGTGGCTCAGGCCTGTAATCCTAGCACTCTGGGAGGCCGAGGCGGGCGGATCACTCGAGGTTAGGAGTTGGAAACCAGCCTGAGCAAGAGCGAGACCCCATCTCTACTATAAGTAGAAAGAAATTAATTGGCCAACTAATATATATGGAAAAAATTAGCCGGGCATGGTAGCGCATGCCTGTAGTCCCAGCTACTCAGGAGGCTGAGGCAGTAGGATAGCTTGAGCCCAGGAGTTTGAGGTTGCTGCGAGCTAGGCTGACGCCATGGCACTCACTCTAGCCTGGGCAACAAAGCGAGACTGTGTCTCAAAAAATAAAAAAATAAAAATAAAAGGAGTGATGGGGAATGGAAGATATGAGGACATTACTGCAATAATTAGAATATTACTGTAAAAACACAAGTGAAATGTAATGGATCAGCAATTAATACAAACTAAACAACAGCAGCAGGGACAGTGGCCTACATCAACTTAGCTTCAATGTGTGTCACATCTTACGCACTGCCAGATGATCTGCACAACCATTGTGAATAGAGACTATTACTGCCTCATTCTACAAATGAGAAAACTGAAGTTTAGAAAGATTAAGTCATTTCCAGAAATCAGCACAGATAGCAGGTGACAGAGCCTGGACACAGACTCAGGACTGTCCAATTCCAATGTCCATACTCCTGACCATAAGCTCCTACACCAAGGTACAGGTAACAGGAGGAAAAGAGAAAAGATTACAATCAAGAAGTCTTTAGAGGCCGGGCACGGTGGCTCACGCCTGTAATCCTAGCTCTCAGGGAGGCCGAGGCGGGAGGATTGCTCGAGGTCAGGAGTTCGAAACCAGCCTGAGCAAGAGCGAGACCCCATCTCTACTATAAGTAGAAAGAAATTAATTGGCCAACTAATATATATGGAAAAAATTAGCCGGGCATGGTAGCGCATGCCTGTAGTCCCAGCTACTCAGGAGGCTGAGGCAGTAGGATAGCTTGAGCCCAGGAGTTTGAGGTTGCTGCGAGCTAGGCTGACGCCATGGCACTCACTCTAGCCTGGGCAACAAAGTGAGACTCTGTCTCAAAAAAAAAAAAAAAAAAAAAGAAGTCTTTAGAAAATATAATCAACAAGACTTAATGGCCATTGACCACCCACATCCCACATGGATTTTCACTTACACACTAATTTTGCCATCCTGAACAGCTTCTGAAAATTTATTACTTCCCTCATCTAGAGATTTCTACTAAAATACCTTAGTTCACCTAACATATTTTTAACCATATGAAAAGTTTCAGATATCTTACACAGGAACTTTTAAGTCTAAAAATTTCCTTGTGTCTACAAGAAGTAAAGAAAAAAACAGACAAATACAAAATTAAAATAGAGTGTTTTTCAGTCAGAAAACAATTTGACATGTCTTGATTTATCCAAGTTGGCTGAAAATAGATTCATATGTCTAGTCGGAAACCCTGAAAAGACAGGTATACAACAGAAATGTTCATAAATAGTGTCTAAGTTAAATATGGGGGAGAAAAAAAGGAAACGCTTAAACTAAAATCTTTGGGCTATAAACAATTCAGCTACCCAAACATATATAATTTTATTGTAACATATAGTTAATATTTTTCATGAAACCAACATGAGTTAGTGTGCCAGAAGAAAAATAGGCAACTGATGAGGCTTCCAGACTCAATTCCAATCTGATAAATGTATTACTAAAGGAAAATAAGAATTGTAGCCACTCTGTTTCAACATACAAATCATCTTCCATCCTTTACAAAAATATCTTTGTTGAATTGTCAGTTTGTATTACAGGATTGTTAAATAAATGGTATTTCCTTCAATAAATAAGTCATGCTTCCCTCTATAAAGATACAGATTTTCACAATGTTAGTGAGATGTCTTATCTATTAAATTCAAAGTCATCTTGATTATGAATACAGGTAACTTTAATAATAAAATAAAATATGATAAACACACTTCTCACTGAATTTAACACTCAAAGACAAAGTTCTATTTGTCATGTTCTAATAAATAGTGCTAGCATATAATCATCTGGGGTTGACTGGCTCAACTCCAGATATTAACTATTAACCACAGGTATTGGTTTAAAAAACTACATGTAAAATTGTTAAGGTCAATAAATAATTTTATAATTCAGTGGAAAGATTATTTAAAGAAGAATTTTTACTTCAATGATATAATTTGACTGATAGACTTTTAAGGTCCTTGTGTTTTCATAAGTTATGCATACATTATAGGATCCCCCACTGAAGGAAAAAGTTTGTATTGTGTTAGTTCCAGTTATAATTTCCAGCTGAGTCAAAGTTCTAACAGCCTTAAAGCAGGAAATCCAAAAGGAAATTCCATCATCAGTTCCTGGGGCTGGGTAACTCAAAGATTCTTTGAAACAGAGATATAAAAGTTCTTAAACTATTTACTATAACCTTACCTCATATCTTCAAGCAAATCACATTCTGCTTGATGTTTGGCTTGAAGTTTTGTCATCTGCTCAACTTGAATGTTTTTCAGTTCTTGTGTAACTTTCACCTAAAATACACCACATATTTATGAAGGCCTTACTACAACTTTAACAAAAAAAGAAAACTGCTTTTAAGGAAAATACTTCATATTTGTCAGAATATCTCTCTCTTGTTCGCCTCTCCCCTGAAGACCATAAATCCATTATTAGCCATCTAGTTTTATTTACTGAAGATACTTAATGAAAAAACTAGCCAAATAACCTGAAACAGAGGCTAAATGAAAATACATGGGTATGAAAATTACAGATGAAAGAGGTGCAAAACCAACTGCCAGTCATTCCATTTCATGCACAAGCTCAATACATATGTAGGTATTCTAAGAGTTTTAAAAGAGCCTATTTCTCCCAAAAAACGATTCAAAGGCATTAACCACCAGGAGAGGTGAGCAGAGTGTAGATGGCAGATGGGAGCCTAAGAATACCTAACACCTAATGACCGAAATTTACACAATCATGAAATAATATGCATGAATCGACCACATAAATTATTCCATAATGGCTGCGAGAAAGCACACTGTCTCAGGATGATGCCCTCCACTCACTGACAGCGCATCAAATCACAATCTCTTTCTCACAAAGGAGAAAGCAAAAGTGACCTTCCAGCATCTGCAGTGCTTTTAAACTACCCCAGCAAGCCGGTCCCGTGGCGGCTCCACTTCAAACAGGGAGAACAGCAAATGCCAGCTGGCTAGAGCCTCGCCCCCTAGGCCGGGACCCCAGGGTTCGAGGTTACATCTGGAATCCCCGCCGCCAGAGCGGGACTACCCAGAGGGATTGGGGTGAGTGTTCGAAAGAAAAAGACTCCCTTAACTGAAGAAACCCGGGTTAAGACTGAGAAAAGAGGAAGCAGACATTAGGCAAATGTTTGCCCACGAGGGGAGGATAGAACGGCCTCCTCCACCTAGTGCCCAGAGAATAGACACTCAGTATCCATCAGCAGGATTAAAAAGACAAGGACACAGCCTCGGCCCCTGGGAAAGCTGCGGAAAGGCGCAGTGGGGAAGCTGCTGACAAGCCAGGAGCACCCGTCACTCCCACCCCTTGCCATCCAAGCCCGGATCGCAGTGCACACGCCACGCACGGCCTTGTTCTCGCTTTCCTGGGGACAGCACCACCGCCTCCTTGCTCCCTAGCCGGGGGGCGCGACGAGGGGAAAGCAGCCCCCGTTGATCCTCAATTTGTTTTCCCCTGGGGTAGAGAGGCAGAGACTATTCCAACTTCTTTTCGGTCGCCTCGTGGGAAAAGCAGGCCAAACCTTAAGGCTAGGCTTGAAACAAATCCCCCGCAAATTTGCAAACGGGCGGGGGTGGCGACAAGCGGCTGGAGGACTCAAACCTGGTGCAGACTAAACAATCACACACACGCACAAGGCACTGCAAAGCTACAGAGACTACCCCGCCTCCCCTCAGTGCAGCCCCGAGAATGCACTTTGCAGCGGACAGCACTGCCATGCGCGCGCACACACACACACAAATGCACACCTGAGAAACTCTTGTGAAATGTCTGGGGATCTCCAGTGCAGAGGACAAGCCCCGGCCGCCCCTAGGTCAGAAAGGCAGCTCACGCGAGCGCTCCCCTCTAGGAGCCGGCGGCAACTCGGTGACAACCGCGAGGCGAGGGCGGTCACGGCCCCTTGCGGGAAGGGGGAGGGGGCGCAGCGGTCGCTCCAGCTGCGTTCCTTGTACGCATTCCCCCAAAACCCCAAAGCCCCTCAGCTGCGCCCTTACCTTCCTCGGCGGTGGCTGCATGATGCTGAAGGGACATCAATCCTCTCACGACGGCAGCGTTGGCAAGGGCCAGGAGAAGGAGGAGGGGCGACCCAGGGAGCGGGCGCGCGCGTGTGTGTGTAAAACGAGCGCCTAAGGAGGAGGACTGGCCCGGACGGAGCAAGGCCGGCGGGCAACTGGAGGACCTGGGTCGGAGAGCGAGTGTGAAGAGAAAGGGGAGGAGCACCGGGAAGGCCTGGGGCCCGGGCGGCCCGGGGGGTGTGTGAGGAAGGAGGCGGAGACCGAGAGGGGGCGGGGGCCCGGAGCGGGGGCGTGAGGGTCTCCCGGCTCGCCGAGCCGCGGGTGAGGAGCTGCCGCGTAGTCCGCAGTCCGGCTCCGCCGCCGGCTCTGCTGCTCCGGGCAGCAGCGACGGCCCCCACCCCACCCACTCAGACAGTCCAGCCCTCGCTGGGCCCAACGCCCCCGCCCGGCCCGGGGAGGAGAAGGCGGCGCCGCGCTCCCCGCTAGGGCTCCACCACTCAGGCCGCGGGAATTTCCGGCCCCACCGCGAGGCGCGGCGCCCCGCTCAGGCGGCCGAGGGAACCGCTCAGTCCAGAGCTGGGTTCGAGGGGCCGGGCCAGGCAGCAAGGAGGGAGCAGGGCCGCAGCGCGGGGCTTCCTATCGCGGCGGGGGATGGGGGAAACTAACGGATTGCGAGGATGGGGAGGGATAGAAAGGCTAGCGGAGAGCAAAAATCCCCCCTTCCTCGCCGAGAGTGGCACGTTCCAAACGCCTCCTGTCCCCCTCCCCCACACTGGGAGCTAGCCGGGGGCTTCCCGCGCGCTTTCCCGCCAGCCCTCCTCGGCGCGCGCCTCCAGTCGGGGGCGCGCACGTGGGCTGGAGAGGGCTCTGCGCCGACGCACGCGCGCAGGCCGCCCCCGCCTCCTGCCTGCCTCTGCGACTGCGGAGTGTGTGCGCGGAAGGGCTGGGGGCGGCTCTCGCAGTGAAATGTTTGCAGTGGGGAGGGGGCAGCATGCCTGTGGAAGTAAGAGAATTCCATTTTTTGCTTCCTTTCTGTCTCCCAACATCCCTGTCTCCCTGCCAGCTAGATGTTCACGAAGGGGGCGAGCAAGGACAAGTCCTTTTGCGGCTGGCCGCAGGTGCCAGGCCATTGATTGTGGGGCGGAAAGGCAGTTGCCAGGCAAAGGAGAAAACAACTCTCTGCTATAGGGCATTCAAGTCAAAGATCACACTTACTCTTGTGCTGGAAGGGAGCTGAGAGGTCGTTAAGGCCAGGGCCCCCATTTCACAGATGAGGAAGCTAGTGGCCGTAGAGTGAAGACTTTCTGAAGGTCACACAGCAGGACTAAAATCTCTGGATCAGGAAGGGTTCTACGGGTTATTTATAAAAAAAAAAAAAAAAAAGTGCAGGATGATAACCATGAGGAAAAGTAGAGGAGGCAGGAGAGGCCATGGAGGAAGGCCTTGTCCGGGATTCAGGACCTCACAGTGCCAGTCTACTCTGCCTGCCCTTGACCGGCTGGGTGAGCTCGGGCTTCCTCATATGCCAATGAGGATGCGCATCTAGGCAAGGTCCCCCCAACACAAACTTCCTACTCTGTCCAGACCATCTACAGGGAGGGGTATTAGCCTCCCTTGGGGTCCTTAAAAGAGTAGAAATACCTCTTCACCATGCTCAGGGAGTTGTTCTGAGCCACAGGGATGTGTGGAGGATGAACTGATTGCTCCGCGGTTTTTTCAGAAGTTGGGGTCCCAGACACCTGTCCTCAAAAATGCAGTCAGGCAAAAGATTGGAAGTGCATGAGGCCTGTAAAGACCCAAGTAGCTTGCCAGGTGATCACATGGCCAGAAATGGGGAAGATAGAACTTGAACTCAGGTTGTTTACATTGAGTTAGCATAGATTCTTATAAAGGAAAGTGATAAAATCAGAGCTATGCTTAAGTCAAATTAATCTAGAGCTGTGTATGAACTAGGAGACCAGTCTTCCTATTTCTAGTTTCAAAAGTCAGTCCTTCAACAGAATCCTTAATTAGACTAGAGAAGGCCTGAATCTGAGAAAAGGGAACAGGTGGGTGGAGACCCAGGGCCCTGACAGCTGTGGGGCAGCAGCTAAAGCCCAGGCCAGAGGTAGGGAGGCTGAGCTCCTATTTCAGCTGCACCATCAGTTCACTGTGAAGCCTTGGGTTAATCAGTTTACCTCTTTCAGCCTTTGTTTTCTCACTTGCACACTGGAGGTATAATAGCAGCCTCTCAGGCTTGTTATAAATAAAATTTCTCTTCCTGCAGGGCCTGGCACATAGTGCTTAATAAATGTTCATCAATTCATCATTCATAAAATATTTACTAAGGTCCTGCTTTGTGTCAAGCCTGTGCCAGGCACTGGGGATATAGGGGCGAGCAAGATAGAATCAACCTAGGCCTTCACCAAGCCTGAATTCCAAACCAACCATTCCATGAATGTCACTAGGCTAGTGGAAGAAGGGTAATATAGTGCTTGCCCAGATGCAGCATCCTGCACATAGCAGGTGCTTAACAAAGATTTGCTAAATCCTAGTCCTGAGTGTAACTGGTCTTACCCAGAGACCTCCACTTCTCTCAGGAAGTAAGTTCTGGGGTATAAAGGTGCTGGGTGTTAGGAGACTTGGGATCCAGTCTCTACTGATCTGTTGGGCCTTGGTATCCAACTACAGAACAAGGTGGGTGAGTGAGCCTAGAACTTAGTAGGCTCTTCACAGATGAAGTCAGACCCTTGCCTTTATTTTATGGAGGGCATCCTCTACCTCATTCTAAAGCCAGGAGTGGCACTTTCTGGAATGATTTCTTTTGGAGGTGTTATAAGGAGCTAAGAGCAATCCCAGATGGGCATACCTGCTAACTCCTTTTTCAAAAGTGTGATTTTTTTTAAATGTATTTTAATATTTACCAAGTACCTTTTCCAAACCCTAAACTTGCATATTTATTTTTATGAGCTAATCTTCACTACAACCATGAGATAGTATTGTTTTCTTCATTTCTTCAGATAAAGAACTAGAAGCTCAGTGAAGATAAGTGACTTTCCCTGCAGTGATGGATTTGCGAGCAGAACCCAGTTCTCTCCTGAGGAATGTTCTTCTATGAAGAATTTTCAAAAGAATTGGGAGTGTTCACTCAGGAAAAAAGCAGACTTAGAAGGATATAATCAATTCTGTTACAAACTCCACCAGACAGGGCTAGAGGTTTCTGTGACTTACATAAGCCTGACTTAAAATGTATCATTTTGAACAAGGCTGGAGACTTCCAGAGCCTTGCTCCCGCAATGCAAGCAAGCACCGTGTTACCAGGTCTCTTGAGATTCTTTGGGGGAAATGCTGCAGAGCAGCATGTACTGTGGCCCCAGAGACAGAACTGGGACAAGTCTTAACTGTATCTCAGGAAGGAGGTTTTCTAGGCAGATCTGCCCCTGGAGGGTGAGCTGGGTCTGTGCGAGCAGGTGCTGACTTCCACGAAAGAGGCCACAAATAGGATTCTCACCCTGGAAAGAAATTAATAACAGCTCCCATTTATTTTGCTTCTTCATGTTTCAAGCATTGAAGTAGGCATGTTATTTACATTGTTTCCAACCCTCACAACAACCCATTGTGATACATATGACCCCATTTCACAGATTTCACAGACCCAGGCTCAGAAGTGAAATGACCTACCCAAGGTCACATAGCTAGTAAAGGAGAACAGGCCTGGTCCCTGGCTCCGAAGCTGTGCTCTCCCTCCAGCGTGCTACAGTTCAGTCTCCCAGAAAGAATGCCAATCTAAGGTTGTCAGAGCCAGGATCAATAGCTGGCCTGGAGCAAGTATATGAGTGGGCGTTGGAAGACTAGCTATTCTGATATTCCGCAAGGCTTCCTGGAGAAACTGCAGGGAGGCAAAGTGTGCAGCAGCCCTTTAGTATGGTGAGCATACAAGCAGCACCCCACTCCCAGTCCAGAGCAGGCACCAGGACAGATTACCACTCCTTTCAAGGCTCTTCAGAAAAGGTGGCCACCAGTCCACCTGCCCACACTGTAACAAGGCACCGCCCACCCTTCCTGCAGCTGGGGTCCACAGCCCTCTCTACTCCCTCTTTCTCTGTGTCATTATCCCCCACTCACATTGGCACAGGCTGCTCAGGAATGCTTGTCAGCAGGTCCAGATGCCAGCCATTCCCTGCCTGGGCCCCACCAAGCCCAGCCGAGGATGCTCCTGCAGACAGTGCAATCTAGCATTGTATGTGGGGGTACCCCACCCCATTCACCTCATACCCCCAATCAACTTTACCCACCCCCACTGCCCACCTTTGCTCCTCCCTGAGCCAATTCCACCAGTCAGACTTGGGTGGGAATGTGCCTGTCTCCTCACTGGTCAGCTCTCAGGACAGAACTCCAGCACAGTGGAATGAAGCTTCAAGATGGGTGGCCACCTGAGGAAGGCAGGGGCTCTCCTAGGACATACCAAAAGCTTGTGGCAGAACTAAGCCTTTAATTCCATCCAGTGTCCCTCAGCAAGCCCCTTATTCTGGGCTTAGTCATATGCAGGTCTCTGGGGTGCCCCAGGCCCTGCCCGCCAAGAGCTCTCAATCTCAGCACAGGAAACAAAGGTCACAGCAGCGAGTCAAGACATGCATGGCCAAGGAAGTCATAAGGACACAGATCCCACCAGGTGGTAGCAGGGAACAAAGGCCAGAGACAAGCCCTAAGAGACAGGCACCAGTACAGGAATTATCCTGCCAAGTGGTGCCCCTGCCAGGAAATAGTACAACTTAGGGGATGGGGGATGAGAATTCAGTCCCAGGGATATGGGAGTTGCTGACAGGCACATGGTTTTGACATCAGGAAGCAGGAAGCCACAGTTCTAATCCTATCTTTGCCAGGTACTCAATGAGTGTGACTTCTGACACATTGCTGTCCTCAGCTTTGATTTCCACATCTGTTAAATGGGAATAACAAACTCTGTCTTCCTCCTAAAGGGGCGGGTTAAATGAAGCAACAGGATGATATCTATAAGGAGCCATGTAAGCAAGTGACTGCTGATCCTAGGGTGCATCAGGGAAGGCTGAGTGATTGCTGTATGGAACGGTGATGAGAACCTTCCTCCTGGAGCTGCACTGTGAGTACACCTCTGACATCTAGGCACTGATGAGTAAAACAGACAAGTTTGGGTGCAGGGGTGAGGTTACAAGGGGGTTGGGTAATGAGGTAGAAGTCTGGTTCCTCCTCTACCTAGCTTTAACTTCTTAATCACATCTTGAAACCTCTCTTGAACTGTGTTCCTTTGTCTGTAAAAGGAGGATAATGGTTCTTTGCAGGGTCAAGGTGGGAATTAAATGGGAATGTTTATGCAAAGTGCCTTGCAACTGTGCTGGCCCACAAATGTGAGTTTCCTTTGTTGAGTTTTTCTTCAGTTTCTCTTCATTTTACTCTGATTTTATTTATAAATTAAAAAATAAAACAGAAGCCAGGTGCGGTGGCTCACACCTATAATCCTAGCACTTTGGGAAGCTGAGGCAGGAGGATCGCTTAAGAGCAGGAGTTCTAGACCAGCCTGGGCTCTACATAGACCTGGTTTCTACAAAAATATTTGTTAAGATTAGCCACACCTACTTGACTGAGGCAGGTGGATCACTTGAGCCCAGGAGTTTGAGGTTGCAGTGAGCTACAATGACACCACTGCACTCTAGCCTGGGTGACAGACCCTGTCTCAAAAAAATAAAAACAGAGATAAGAAAAATGAAACAAAAAGAGGAATTCACATGAGGAAAATTGAGCCCAACTAGAGTCCCAGTTCTTCTCCTTACTCAT